CGGAATTTCGTTTTTTCAAAAAAATATTTATTTATTCGTCTACATTAATGTGGTCCCCTTCAAAGTAGTCCCCCCCAGATATAATACACTTATGCCAGCGTTTTTTCCAATTTTCGAAGCACCCTTGATATTCACTTTTTGATATGTCCTTGAGCACCTCTTCAATCGAGGAAAACCGCCGTCCTTTCATGGGTCTCTTCAACTTTGGGAATAGGAAAAAGTCACACGGAGCCATATCTGGTGAATTTTTGCACTTTGCAACACTTTATTTCATTTTTACGCAAAATTTAATACAAATTCTTTGACTTTTCAATTCTTCCATGTAAAAATCGCCGAGCTCAGAAAAACACGTCGAACCTTAGCGACTACCACAGACAAAGTAAACAGTGAATATAGCTGAAAATTTCATCATACTTTAGGGGCATGTATACCAACACAATAAAAAAAAAATTTTGACAATCAGACACTCCAGACCCGCGAAATTTAATTATTAGTAATTCCGGGTACTTTTTGAACACACCTCGTATGTTGATACTCATCGTAATCCTAATTTTTTATTTTATTTATGGTTATAAGTGATTATCTTGTGATCATAAATATCTGGATATCTATTAGTCATTTAAAGCATTTAAAGAAATTTTCTCAAACTGAAATGTGAAGTTGAGTAGAGGTATTTCAAATGATTTATCATGAAAAATATACACATGTTTTTAAAAGTACTTTATTGCATATAATATACCTTAATAAATATATTTCTAAAGTTTGCTATTGATAGTTTGATGCATCACAAATATATAATACATATAAATAACAATTTTTAAATCTACATCCGCATATATGAGCGGTATCTTCAGTCATTTGATCAATAATCCAGGCATTCAATAATTATATTTTACTAATAAGTAACAAACAATTTTATAAATATATGCTGTAATATGTATGAACTTTGGCGTAATGATTTTTGCGATGAAGACGATTTTATTATATAGCGCGCTATAAAGCAAATACTAAGAATACTATTATTGATAAGAGTTTCATGTTTTATGTGTTTTCCATGCCGGCGAAACAGTTGTTTATTTAGAATCCCCAATGGTGACCTCCTCCTATACTGGAACCATGCTCTAGTTGTTGTTTTGGTTCTCCAACTTTTGTTACTACTGCATTGAAACCATTGTGCTTATCAGCGGTGTAGTCTACTATTCTTTGCGTTCCATCAGCTTCCGTCAATGAATATTGTCCTGAAATAATAGTGTATTTTAAATTTATTTTAATTCATATTTACACCAGAAATTACGTACCTTTTACGACGTCACCATCTCTCGATTCCCAAGCGTTTTTTTCATCGCCTGTATGAGGATCATGAACAGAGTAACCGTATTTATACTTTGGTGGCTCCTGAAAATAATTGGTAGCATTTATATCTGAGTTTAGATCATTTTATCATTTCAAATCGTGGAAGCAACATAATATTATATTCACATGATAATCTTCGTGTCCATGTCCATAAGATTCGCCGCCTCCCATTTCGTGACCTCCTTCGAAATCGTGCGTCGCCACAATTTGGTGTCCGCCTTCAAAATCATGGCCGCCTCCAAAAATATCCGCCTACATCATGCGAATCAAAAACCACCTCCAATGTAGCCCGCTCTGGTTAATGCTAGAACCACCGATAGCACGGAAATTATCTGAAAATCAATGTTATATAAATCTTTAAGGGGCACAACTAGTGTAACCCCCTATAAAAAAGCTGATTTTTGGGAATTTATATTAAAAAAACTACTTTATCAATCATTTCAAAATTTTAGAAATATATTTATACATGTTTTAAGAATACATAGTAAAATTTTTGAAGAAAAAAATTAAATATTTTTCAAGTTATCGTCGGTCTCCAACGGCGCGACAAAAAAAGGGCCTTAACTGCTGCAGTGATTCCGGCCTTCTACGTGGATGAAATAAAAAAAAAAAATCTCGTTAAACTAGATAATATTGTCTGTAAATGAACTACGATGAAAAAAATAAATCAAAAATTGACAAAATGGCGGCGTTTTTTAAAAAAAGTCGAATTTTAGCCCAAAATTTTGGTCGTTTTTCGACTGCCAAAAATCGATTTTTGTCCCGATCGAAAAATCGATAGTTTATTTTACGGAGAACTGTATAAAGAACATGTAAAAAAAATTGATAGTGATCGGATCATTCGTTTTTGAGTAATCACTGCAGCAAATTCGGAAAATGCTGTTTCGAGAAAAACGCGTTTAAAGATAAAATAATCGTTGTACTATAATATATAACTATATATATACTTTTTAAATGGCTGTAACTCAAAAACTATTTGAGATATTGATTTGAAATTTTTATATATTATTTTTAAAGGTGTAATCTACCGAAATATGAAAAAAAAACAAAAATCGATTTTTTCGAAATTTCACACTAGTTGTGTCCCTTAAATTAATCAGCGTAATATATCTTTTAATTCAAAAGTATCAATTCAATTTATTGCGACACGTTGATGATAACTTTAAATTAGAGACGAATATGTTGTAATGCAATTTGTAAAATTTCTATTTTCATTAATTGACTGTTAGGAATTTATATTATTAGTATTTATAAATTATCCAACAGCTTGCAACATTAATTTTCTCATGCTGATGCATAGAATGCAAAATCTTTGTTGTACGACGATAAAACATTTAATGTGTTCATAAAATATAGTATTACTTTCAGTTGCGAAACGTATTATATGATGTTGCAATAAATTTAATATATGATGTAAATACAAAGTTTAATTAGAATAGCCGAAAACGGATTAATATTTTTAAAGTTTGGATATTATGAAAGGAAATATTAAATTCTATATATTTAATTTTAAATTTTTATTTTTCTAAAAATATTATTTTGTCATTATATCGTAGTTTTTCATGAACTATGATATTTACTTCTATAGTATATTAACCGAAATTTAATATCACAATTTTTTTAAGAAAATTTATAAGCTCATTTTTAATGTTTTTAAATTTTTTGCAATTATATTTTTATTTCTCTTATTGATTTATAAACAGCAATCAAAATAATATAATTTTATAAGTTATTATGATAGCTTATACAATTACATGATTTTGATTGCTATAAACTTTTTTTAGTAAAGAGTCAAAAATCATTATGATTTATGTATTAAATTACGATGATTATTTATCGCCAATCCATTTTTTAGTATATTTTTTCGTCTTCTTGATTTTTTTATCAAATTACTAAGTATCTTAAAATTTAACTTTTCTTTCGTTTGTGTAATTAACTAGAAATTTATAATAAAATAAGACTTATTTTTTAAAATTTAGATTTAATATTAATGCGATTTAGATTATCCATAAGGCCAGATTTTATCGGTTTTTAAACACTTTTAGAATCCAATTAAAAACATATGAAAAAATTCTAAAATTTAACTAAAATTAAAGTATTTATTACTAAGTTTCTACCTTAAACATGTTTTATTTTTTGTTTAAACTATTGATACGATCACACAAACTGAACTGTATGATTAGCGAGTATCTTCCCTCGTTTTTATACTGCCGTTTGTAGAACTGAAAATGGAAAGTGTTTCTTTTCCTTTCCATCTATATAGTCTCGCATCATTCTCATATACGAGCCAAAGTGTTAAAACTAATATACAGTAAATCACAATTAATAATCATAATAATTAGATCCAAAAAATTGTATTCATGTCACTTCGTATTAATTTAGTCCCCAAAATCACAAATTTTTAATTAATGCTCAATATAAATTGAAAATTTTACACCCACACCAGTATACGATTATTTAGTATTAAAATAATCATCCCCAATAATAGTATGTGCCGGATTCAGTTTTTTTTAATATTTTGTGAATGACCCTTTAACTTATTAATTTATTAATAACTGTGGGGATTGTACTCATTTTAATGAACTGATTTTAATTATTGTATATTTATAATTATTTATATAAGCATTATAATGTATTCAAAATTTATATACACGAGATATTTATTCGGCTATTTAAAAAATAACATAATGGTATTGATTATTGAATATATTTTTATTAGAATATTTATTGTTTTTTGAGTGGGATATCATTAATGAAAAAATAATCTATCAATCAATCATTTAAAGTTAGAAGAAGAAAGTTGAAAATTACTTTTAAATTTTTATCGAAATAAATCTAAATTGCTCATATCTAAATAGTTCATACTATTTTAAAAATTAAGTTTATCAAAAAATAGAACGACCCTTTGGGGAAGGAATAATTCATATTTAAAATTTATATACATAAAATATATATTAGGTTATCATTAATAAACAAATCATTCACTAATCAATAATAATTATTAATATATGTGGAGAAAACTACATAATATTGTTAAAATATCATTTTGGATGGAATCAGAATTGCTTAAATAATAATATTTTTTTCACTTTAGGAACCACTATGGTTCGTACATTAAAAATACAGTCAAATTAATGTAGTTAATCATGATAATTTATTTCAAATACTCACAAATTTGTTTAGCCCATTTCGGAATCGGAATTAATGCGAAAATATTATCTATTTAATATGAACTATAGATCTATTATAAATAGACATTTGTTCATCAATTCGGAAAAATTAAGCTAATATAGAGAATATTAAAACTTGTTAATTTTTGTCAATTTCTTATCATTTTTCATGTTTTTCTATTGCATCCACAAGCTCAATTTGTAGGTTATTTAATTACTAATAAAATTTTATTATGAATTTTGCCATTACATATTAATTATATTGCATACATTTTAAAGAAAATGTATAGTTTCTGCTCGTATATCTCTGTTTAAAACTTACTTTGTACTAATGTTTAAAATTTAAAGGGAACGATTAGTCGTGGTTTATGTAAGTCTTTCACTTTAAATTTGAACTTTAATTATAAGCGAAATTATGAAACATCTTACTACGAAAATCATTAATCATTATTCATTATGAAAAATGTATTTCACCAGGTTGATGTGGTATTTACAGCTGCTCTATTGTTAGAATGGTATACTATCCTCCTCTTGGAGGTTTGCTAATATCTTCTTGAGTTTTAATATAAAATATTAAATTAATATTATTATATCAAAATTCAAGAGGAGGATAGCAAATCCAATTATTAAAAATATAAAAATCTTCTGAACAAGTATATGGTTTTTATTTGGTAATTTCGAGTTTAGATGGATACTTACGCTTTCCCTGTGTTTTATCTGCATAGTTAATATGCAAGAGCAAGAGCTCAAAGTAATTTCCAATAGAGTATTTATAAATAATGTGCTTTGTTTCGAGAGAGTTTGGTTGTTTGTATGCTTTTCATCGTTAGGCGATTCGCAACGCTTTATGCTACGCAATCAAACAAATGATTGCTGTACTTCACTGCGGAACCAACGAAATTTACTTCCTCAGATTTACTTACTCAGATCAGTATAATGTATTCAACATTTTAACTTCCCGAAGGAGAAGTTTATGTTCTCATAAAAAAATCCGATTCGCTAATTTTATGTTTTCTCAACGTTTCAAGCCATTCTGAATCGAATGAGCCCAAATTTGGAAAAAGTATGTGTGTGTGTGCGTGTATGTGAACAGATTTTTTGCCGTAAATCGACGTTTTCTCAAAGCCGGTTCGATCAATTTCAAAAATTTTCTTGTAATAAAGTTTTTTAAAAAAAATTTCGACGATTTTTATGATTTTTTTTTTTGACGGTAGATATCATAGTCTTCTAGATCAGGGGTCGGCAAGCTTTTAACTGTGGTGTGCCGAGCCACTTTACCAATATGATTCAGGGTGCCGCCTGAAATATATAACCAGGTTCTGGGGAGAAGAATTATAACCAAATTTATCTTTTTAACATTTTTATTAACTAGTGGGGTGCATGGCATCGTGCCTTAATTCAAATTGCTAGAACTTTTCATACTGAAATTAAAAATCTTGGTACTGAACCCAAAAAAAATTACACAAAATATGTACACAGTATTAAAATCTCTATAAAATATTTGATAATTTGATGTACATAAGTCCAATGGGTGTAAAATTACTACAATGTTTGTAAAAATACTACAATGGGTGTAAAATTACTACAATGTTTGTAAACAATACCACAATGGGTGTAAAATTACTACAATGTTTGTAAACAATACTACAATGGGTGTAAAATTACTAAAATGTTTGTAAACAATACTACAATGGGTGTAAAATTACTACAATGTTTGTAAAAATACTATAATGTTTGTAAACAATATTACAATGGGTGTAAAAATAACAATTACTACAATGTTAGTAAAAATACTACAATGGGTGTAAAATTACTAAAATGTTATTGAAAATACTACAATGGGTGTAAAATTACTACAATGTTAGTAAAAATACTACAATGGGTGTAAAATTACTACAATGTTTGTAAAAATACTACAATGAGTGTAAAATTAGTACAATGTTTGTAAACAATACTACAATGGGTGTAAAATTACTACAATGTTTGTAAACAATACTACAATGGGTGTAAAATTACTACAATGTTTGTAAAAATACTACAATGGGTGTAAAATTACTACAATGTTTGTAAAAATACTACAATGGGTGTAAAATTACTACAATGTTTGTAAAAATACTACAATGGGTGTAAAATTACTACAATGTTTGTAAACAATACTACAATGGGTGTAAAATTACTACAATGTTTGTAAAAATACTACAATGGGTGTAAAAATACTACAATGTTTGTAAACAATACTACAATGGGTGTAAAATTACTACAATGAGCGTAAAATTACTACAATGTTTGTAAAAATACTACAATGGGTGTAAAATTACTACAATGGGTGTAAAATTACTACAATGTTTGTAAACAATACTACAATGGGTGTAAATTACTACAATGTTTGTAAGCAATACTACAATGGGTGTAAAAATATTACAATGAGCGTAAAATTACTACAATGAGCGTAAAATTACTACAATGTTTGTAAAAATACTACAATGGGTGTAAAATTACTACAATGTTTGTAAAAATACTACAATGAGCGTAAAATTACTACAATGAGCGTAAAATTACTACAATGAGCGTAAAATTACTACAATGTTTGTAAACAATACTACAATGGGTGTCAAATTACTACAATGGGTGTAAAATTACTACAATGTTTGTAAACAATACTACAATGGGTGTAAAATTACTACAATGTTTGTAAACAATACTACAATGGGTGTAAAATTACTACAATGTTTGTAAAAATACTACAATGAGTGTAAAATTACTACAATGTTTGTAAAAATACTACAATGAGCGTAAAATTACTACAATGAGCGTAAAATTACTACAATGAGCGTAAAATTACTACAATGTTTGTGAACAATACTACAATGGGTGTCAAATTACTACAATGGGTGTAAAATTACTACAATGTTTGTAAACAATACTACAATGGGTGTAAAATTACTACAATGTTTGTAAAAATACTACAATGGGTGTAAAATTACTACAATGTTTGTAAAAATACTACAATGGGTGTAAAATTACTACAATGTTTGTAAAAATACTACAATGGGTGTAAAATTACTACAATGTTTGTAAGCAATACTACAATGGGTGTAAAAATATTACAATGAGCGTAAAATTGCTACAATGAGCGTAAAATTACTACAATGTTTGTAAAAATACTACAATGGGTGTAAAATTACTACAATGTTTGTAAAAATACTACAATGAGCGTAAAATTACTACAATGAGCGTAAAATTACTACAATGTTTGTAAGCAATACTACAATGGGTGTAAAATTACTACAATGTTTGTAAAAATACTACAATGGGTGTAAAATTACTACAATGTTTGTAAAAATACTACAATGGGTGTAAAATTACTACAATGTTTGTAAAAATACTACAATGGGTGTAAAATTACTACAATGTTTGTAAACAATACTACAATGGGTGTAAAATTACTACAATGAGCGTAAAATTACTACAATGTTTGTAAAAATACTACAATGGGTGTAAAATTACTACAATGGGTGTAAAATTACTACAATGTTTGTAAACAATACTACAATGGGTGTAAATTACTACAATGTTTGTAAGCAATACTACAATGGGTGTAAAAATATTACAATGAGCGTAAAATTACTACAATGAGCGTAAAATTACTACAATGTTTGTAAAAATACTACAATGGGTGTAAAATTACTACAATGTTTGTAAAAATACTACAATGAGCGTAAAATTACTACAATGAGCGTAAAATTACTACAATGAGCGTAAAATTACTACAATGTTTGTAACAATACTACAATGGTGTCAAATTACTACAATGGGTGTAAAATTACTACAATGTTTGTAAAAATACTACAATGGGTGTAAAATTACTACAATGGGTGTAAAATTACTACAATGGGTGTAAAATTACTACAATGTTTGTAAACAATACTACAATGGGTGTAAAATTACTACAATGAGCGTAAAATTACTACAATGAGCGTAAAATTACTACAATGTTTGTAAAAATACTACAATGGGTGTAAAATTACTACAATGTTTGTAAAAATACTACAATGAGCGTAAAATTACTACAATGAGCGTAAAATTACTACAATGAGCGTAAAATTACTACAATGTTTGTAAACAATACTACAATGGTGTCAAATTACTACAATGGGTGTAAAATTACTACAATGTTTGTAAAAATACTACAATGGGTGTAAAATTACTACAATGGGTGTAAAATTACTACAATGGGTGTAAAATTACTACAATGTTTGTAAACAATACTACAATGGGTGTAAAATTACTACAATGAGCGTAAAATTACTACAATGAGCGTAAAATTACTACAATGTTTGTAAAAATACTACAATGGGTGTAAAATTACTATAATGAGCGTAAAATTACTACAATGTTTGTAAAAATACTACTATGGGTGTAAAATTACTACAATGTTTGTAAACAATACTACAATGGGTGTAAAATTACTACAATGAGCGTATTATTACTACAATGTTTGTAAACAATACTACAATGGGTGTAAAATTACTACAATGAGCGTAAAATTACTACAATGAGCGTAAAATTACTACAATGTTTGTAAAAATACTACAATGGGTGTAAAATTACTACAATGGGTGTAAAATTACTACAATGAGCGTAAAATTACTACAATGTTTGTAAACAATACTACAATGGGTGTAAAATTACTACAATGAGCATAAAATTACTACAATGTTTGTAAACAATACTACAATGGGTGGAAAATTACTACAATGAGCGTAAAATTACTACAATGCGCGTAAAATTACTACAATGAGCGTAAAATTACTACAATGTTTGTAAAAATACTACAATGGTTGTAAAATTACTACAATGGATGTAAAATTACTACAATGGGTGTAAAATTACTACAATGTTTGTAAACAATACTACAATGGGTGTAAAATTACTACAATGGATGTAAAATTACTACAATGTTTGTAAAAATACTACAATGAGCGTAAAATTACTACAATGAGCGTAAAATTACTACAATGTTTGTAAAAATACTACAATGAGCGTAAAATTACTTCAATGAGCGTAAAATTACTACAATGTTTGTAAACAATACTACAATGGGTGTAAAATTACTACAATGGGTGTAAAATTACTACAATGTTTATAAAAATGGGTGTAAAATTACTACAATGTTTGTAAAAAATACTACAATGGGTGTAAAATTACTACAATGTTTGTAAAAATACTACAATGAGCGTAAAATTACTACAATGAGCGTAAAATTACTACAATGTTTGTAAAAAATACTACAATGGGTGTAAAATTACTACAATGTTTGTAAAAATACTACAATGGGCGTAAAATTACTACAATGTTTGTAAACAATACTACAATGGGTGTAAAATTACTACAATGTTTGTAAAAATACTACAATGAGCGTAAAATTACTTCAATGAGCGTAAAATTACTACAATGTTTGTAAACAATACTACAATGGGTGTAAA